AGAATGGATTGTACTGTTACGCTATTAATATGTTACAATCACAACACAATGGCCTGATCCTGTTGAGAAATAAATAACTTGTATATGGCATCTTTTCTAGTGGCTACTACTTATACCCATCTATATAATGTCTTGAATTTTCCTGCTGGAGTTGTACCAGTCACAACAGTTACACAAGCAGATGAAGAGGCACTGAAGAATTACAAAGGGCTCTATGGAGACTTCTGGGATACGAGAATGAAGGAGGTTAGTTAACAGCAAGAAATGCAATTGCCATATATGGGAGTCAAGGTATTGCCGAAATCTTCCCTTTGTGGTACAAAACTTTAGCAGAATGGATCCTTCGTGGCTGCTCCCCTGAAACTGGTGAAATTTGGTGACGGGTTTCCTTTGGAGAAATTTGAGGAACAGTATCTTGACAAAAATTCAAAGTTGCTTCGTTCCAGAATGGGCCGACTCACCATGACCAACTCCCTGCAGCCAACTCGCCATGGGACAACTTGCCATGCGACAATTTAGCAATTCAATTATTTAAAATAAATAAAAATATTTAAATTTTTGTCATGCACTTCATTCTCGATCTCCTTTTCCATCCTTTCTTTCAAGATTCTATTCTATCTTTTTTTTGATATTAGTGTAACACTTATCTTGCAGCGAGTAGTCCCACAGCAAGTTGGCCATGGTGAGTTGGCCATGGCAGGTTGGCGAATTGTGGTGAATTGTCATAGACCCACTTCGTTCATTGGCTGCATTGAGGTTGAGTTGGATCCCTGTTATTACTAAAGAAAACTGTACTTTAAGAATATTTTTTTCTGATTTGAGCATGAGTCTATTTAATTGAAATAGGTCCTACTGAGTTATAAAGGACTTTTATCTCCTTTAAGGGACTTTGAGCTATAACTTAGCATGATCCTATAAGATGTGAATCTGCCAAAAATATAGCTTTGAATAGGCTGGGAATTCTGGTGACTTCATTGACATGACAATATTGTTGGCAGTAATATTGTCAGACTGTATTTGCATTTGAGCCCTTTTTGCTATGGAAAATGCTCATTGGAGGAGAAGTTATGCCTTTATGGTATACCTCTAGCTCAGGCCTGTACAACTTTATTATCAGATTCAAATGATGTAATTATGTAAAGGTTGCTAAACTTTATTTAAAAGAATAATTGTTTCCATATTCACATTTTTTTCTTCTATTTTTCTGATTGATGATTGCAACAAAGATGCATCAATCAATCCAGTGGTGAAATTCAAATTTTTTTACTACCGGTTCTGTGGGCGTGGCTTGGTGGCAGGGCCGGATTTTCCTATAGGCTAACTAGGCTTCAGCCTAGGGCCTCAAGATCAAGAGGGGCCTACATTCAAATTGTTAGCAAAATTAAAATTACACTTTCACTATAGGTGAAAGGGCCTCATAAGTGGAATAGCCTAGGGCCTCTTTTCATCTAAATCCGGCCCTGCTTGGTGGACGTGGTGTGGCTTGGTGGGTGTGACTTGGTGGGCATGGCAGGGGAAGGATATTGCAAAATCTCCATTCCCACCCCACTCTGGGGCCAGCCAGAGGTGGTATTTGCCGGTTCTCCAAACTACTCAAAATTTCCGCTACCGGTTCTCTGAACTGCTCAAAATTTCCGCTACTGGTTCTCCAGAACCTGTCAGAACCTGCTGGATTTCACCCCTGAATCAATCCATCGATCCATTCATTCTTGGCAGCAATAATCAGTCAGCCACTTCCATTGCCTAGTTTGTTGTTGTTGCTGTTGTTGTTGTTACTTTCTAAGAGTTTCTGGTGGTAGATACTATAGATACTAATTCTGCCTTTTTTATGGTCAGCCAAGAGTGACTAGTAGCTGGCTATATAGTCTTGATCTTGCTGCAATATCTAGGTTAAAGAATTCTTTAGCATTGGGATCTATATTTTATGGGCAGCCCTATGTTGTACACCTCAAAATCCCTAATAGTCTAGCCCTTGTAAGCATGCATTCATGGTTCAGTGGTGGGTGCCAATGGTTTAGTGGTGGGTTTCAAATTTTTTTTTACTACCAGTTCTGTGGGCATGGCTTGGTGGGTGTGACATGGCTTGATGGGTGTGGCATGGTGGGCGTGGCAGGGGAAGGATACTGTAAAATCTCCATTCCCACCCCACTCCAAGGGAAGGTTACTGCAAAATCCCCATTTCCTCCAGATCAGCTGGGACTTGGGAGGCAGAGAATAGATGGGGACAGGCCCAGTCAGAATTTTTACTACCAGTTCTCCGAACTACTCAAAATTTCTGCTACTGGTTCTCCAGAACTGGTCAGAACCTGCTGAAACCCACTTCTGCAGTGGTTATGGATGGGTGTTGGATCAGTGACTCCCATTAGACAAAAGAAGGTACTTCTGCTTACTTTCTGCTAAATTTCAAGTCACATTGAATTCAAGGACTGATTTGCAGTCAAGAAGACTGATGAATACTTTGAGTAAAGTCTTACTGTTTGTGTTTCTCCTATAGGCTGTGAAAGATGCTGTGGGACTCCCCGTAGCAGTACAGTGCGTGGCCTTGCCATGGCAAGAAGAATTGTGTCTTCGGTTCATGAAAGAAGTGGAGAGAGTTTCCCGTGAGAGATGGGGAAAGAGAAAAATATGACTGTCAGAAAGAAGGCTGCAAGGAACGTTGACCTTTCTAAATAAACTTTATATTGACTTATGCAGTTTATTGCTGGGTTAGCTCAGTTATATTTTCACCAATGTTCAACAAGATAAGATATAGAGAGATTAGAAGATATGGTTTAGAAAGTAGAGAATTTTTGGTAATGTTTTGTAATTAGGGCTAAATAAAAGCATATGGACAACAAGATCTTTCAGACAGACCCCTTTGAATTATGCTATCACTTCAAAGGTTTGATACAATTATTCTGTCACTCCTTCATCAACTATTGGCACTTTTGAGAAAGCTGTAAATGGGAAATGCTGGTGTCAGCAAATTCTGTACTGTAAAATTCTGTGATTGAGATAATTTGATTGTGCAATAAAAACCTGTTCGGTAAACCTGAACAGATGAATCTGGGACAATTTAAAATCAGTCCAGTGATCTAGGATGTCACTGCGGTAACTGATACCACCCAGTCCTTTGAATCCCAAAAATTATTTGCAAAATTGAAATGAACGTGTTAGTTCTATATGAAAAAAAACATTGCAAGATAGATTAATCTTCCAAAAGAATGAATGGAAAGTACACAGAAGGAAAGATCATCTGGAAGTTGCCTGAATCATGGTAAAAAGAATTATAATACAGGATGTCACAAACATTTATGGACGTATACTAAGGAAGCTTGGAAAAGGATATTTGGTGAAGTGGTAAAATAAAAAAAAGGTTGTAGAAGGATGGAAAAAAGAATATAATGATATTAAAACGAATATAAAAGATAGATTCATGTGCATATAGAGAAAATACAGTTCCAAAAAATATAAGTCAAAGAGAATGAGGCATGGTTAAAATTACAGTGGTAGATAGACAAATGCAGATTGATTCTCAAACCAAGCTGGAATTAAAATATTACTTTGGAAGTGGGTGAAGTGGACTACAGAAAAATAAGTGGAATTAAAAATGCTTGAAGGAGCATTTGGAAAATAGTGGTGTGTCAAAGAATGGAATTGAAACAAATAGTACTAGAATTAGTATTCAAGAAAAATATGGTGAAAAGCAAATCATAAATGTGAAAATGGGTTTTTTTTAAAGGTAAGATTGCAAGGGTAACTCTGTATATGCTTAAATATAGTAGTAGTTTGCTAACTCTAATCCTTTATGGCTGTTCAACTTGTTTAATTTATTTAATAAATGTATATGCCACAACTTGTTTAATGTGTGTATAAAGACACACACATGCCTGACAATCGGAAGAGTGCCATTATTGTTCTCTAATACTGATAGTAAGACTGAAAGCAAAAATTATAGGGGGCTCGTTTAAGTGTCCCTGGATTGTGATTGAAAGAGGATCAGAGGTGACAATAGACACATTTTGGGAAATGCAATTTGGCTTTATGATGATCATGGAATACGCAGACCATATTTTTTGCTCTTTAGCGAGTCACTATGAAATGTATGAATATGAGGAAGTTTATTGGACATTTTGTTAACTTAGTTAAAGCATATAATAATAATGAGTACTAATTTATTACATTTACATGCTGCCTGACTCCCAAATGTTAAAACATTTAAAGACAAAAAACAATTGGAAAAACATGAAACGGCGCTAAAGACAAAAAAAACCACACAACTGCAAAGACTAAAGAACAAACATGGCAACAAACAAACAAACCCAGAGGGAAACAGAAAGGAGCGTTAGTCATCCTTTCCAAAGATTCGGGTAATGATACACATGAAAGTCTTCAGAATTAGATGTCATGCATATCAGTGTCCTAATTTATCACACTCTCTCAAGGATTCTTGGCTAGTTTGAATGCAGCTCTGCATGTCTCTGAGAGAGATAACATCCAGTAGTGTTGGAGAGCTGAGTGCAGTTGTTCATTTTAGAGGCTGGAATTCTGCAGAGCTCCTGCTTCCACTTGGCTTCTGAGTTTCTGTTCTTCTAAAGGGAATGATGGTTTTGTGGCTTGGCAGATCCTCCTCAGTAGCCAAGATTTCATCAGTTTCCTACTGTCCTTCGGTAAGGGGTCAGCTGGATGCAACGCACACGTTTGTCCTTCCTTTTCCTTTTTCCTTTTCTTTCTTTCACTTGAATGGAGATTCTTATTGTTGCAGGAGATGGAACCACCAGTCACTGACTTGTAATTTTTCTCTTTTTCAATAACACATTGCAAATGTGGATCACTGCCAAACTACTTCTGAGGGTTTTGAAACTAAAAAGCCTAAATGGTGTGAAGTGTCCCGCTGCCCCCCACCCGCCCGATTTGTTTCTCTTAAATGTTTCTCTCCCTGCCATTTGGAAGCTCAAAATTAAACACAGTTCCTTTGAAAGGAGAGACAATCAGCTTTTGTGGAGTATGCTGATTCATTTTCATTTCAGCATTCCTTCACCAGCACTGCCTTAACATTGGGAAAACCAACGCCTAGAAATATTTTTCTCCACCTCCAATATTTTTCTGATGTTGTGAAATAATGCCACATTTCCCAACTAGATAGTGGTAATTAAGGATCCTGGTTGATTTCTTAATGCACACAAGAGAAAGGCTGGTCTGAGCAAGCTAAAGAGAAACGGAGAAAAGGAGCATAAAAAAAGTAAGTGTGTAATTATCCTTCCCTACTTTTTGCAATCAAAAGGGGACAGGGGACAATAAAAGAACCACCTTATGCTTGTCCTTAACAGATTTTTGGTACAAACAAATGGGTTTGGCGCCCGTGCCTGCAGCACTGATAAGTGCTCAAATCAGGTATCTATAAAAGACTTTCCCATAAATGTTTAACCCAACTTTAGCCTTAGCACAGATTCACACACTCTGCTTGGCTCATTGTCAGTACGGGCAACTCCCTGTTTCTTGAGAGCAGAACAGATGACCTAGTCTTCCTCCCATTTCTAGCCCATTGTAAATGCACACCCCAACGTTGATTCAAAACTGCTGGCCTCCAACTTGACTTGCCTTAAGCTCTTTAGGGTTCTGTAGACAGTGTCCAGCATTTCATGTCCTTCTAGTAGAAGCCTCAGTTCTGATTGGCTACCCCAGTATTTCTCAACCTCAACAGTGTCTCTCAGAGCTTGCTGGCGGAGAAATTCTGGGAGTCAATGTCCACACATCTTAAAGATGTCAAGGTTGAGAAACACTAGGATACCGTGTCTGGCATGACTCCTCCTCTCCTCTCCTCCCCCCAATGGTTTGATAAGACTATCAGATTTTCCTAGCTTCCAGGCAACTATATTTTCTGCTGGCTAACAGTTAAAATTATAATTTGCAGCTGCTAGTCTGTGAAATCAATGAACTATCTTCAACCCTAAAGCTCATGTTCCAATTAAGCCTTACATTTCTCTTTGAGTATTCTTTTGAGTTCTGCCCAGGCTGGATAAAGCATGGTTCCCTTGCTTTCCTACTCTATTCCAGTGGTGGGTTGCTCCCGGTTCACACCAGTTCACAAGAACTGGTAGTAAAAGATTTTAGTAGTTCGGAGAACCAGTAATAACATTGGCTGGCCACACCCCCGAACCAGTCCTCAGCCCGGTCGCTGCTTGCTTACCCCGCCCACCACATCAGAGGCTTTTTTTTTTAACTTTTAAAAGCATTTTTTCTACAACCTCTTCGGCTGAAAAAAATGCTTTTAAAAGTTAAAAAAAAAAAGCCTCTGATGATCGTGCGGCTCAGCTGGGATCTTCAGAGGCTTCTGAAAACATTTTTCTGCAACCTCTTCAGCCGAAGAGGTTGTAGGAAAAAAAAATTCCTTTAAAAGCCTCTGGCAATCCCAGATGACTTGTCTGATCGTCAGAGGCTTCTAAAAGCATTTTTTTCTGCAACCTCTTAAGGTTGTAGAAATAATGCTTTTAAAAGTAAAAAAAAAAAAAAGTTGGCCATGCCCACCCAGTCACATTACCCAAGCCACGCCCACAAAATAAGCCACGCCCACAGAACCAGTAGTAAAACATTTTAGAACCCACCCCTGATCTATTCACAGTATTGCAAAGATTACCACTCCCACCACCCCCACATGCACGCACCTGTGTTGTTATATGTAGCAAGATACTGATAGCAGAATAACTGGTAGTTATAATCTTATCAAGCTTGGTTCAATAGGCTCCTTTTAGAGAACTGGGTGTGGTTGAATTATTAAAATTGATTGGTTCCACCCAACAGTTACGTTAGCCAGCAAATGCAATGCATTCTGTTCTTCTTAGCTGAACTCTTCTACTGAAAGGTAACCTCAAAAAAGAAAGATATATCTAAGACTCTTGCTAGTGTTAAGGTTTACAAAAGGTAGCTGAAATGTGTGGTTTTTGTTCCTCCTTGTGTTATGTGTGGGTGCTGTCATCATGTGAGCTTCTACCACAGGACTGAACTACATTTTGAAAGTTGGGGTAGCATTTAGAGGTTTTGAGAAGGCAAGGATTGAAATAGTTGGGAATTAACACAGATATATATATATATATATATATTACTTTTTGTTGATTTTAGGTTGACCTCAACAGGTGCTAAACCTGGTCAGATTTGTCTAGGCTTAGAAGCTTAGTAGGATTGGTTAGCTTTTATAATGCAGGTTCCGTAGCAATGCTAATGTATTTTCTGAATGCTTCTTACAGCCGAGAGACTAGTCCTGTGCTGTAGGAAAAGTGGACAGCCAAACATCCTAAAGGGATGAAAAGTTATGAAAAGAAATCTGAAATGTATGAATAATTATTGTGCAAACCCAAACACAATAAAATATTAATTTAAATAAAAAATTAGGGTGCCAAGTTTTTACTATTTGTGGTTTTAATAGTTATATGTCTATATTAATTGTACAATGATACTGTTTTAACTGTTGGTTGGAAGCCACCCAAAGTTTGATGTAAGATGGGCGGCTATTTTAAATAAATACAGAAAATTAGACATTCCAAGACAAGATATAAAGTGTCAGAGAATTTTGCTTATGCTGTGCTTGTATTCCCTACTATCATTCTACAATCACAACAAAGAGCATCTTAAAGACCAGATTACTAGCTGAATAACCACTAAAGTAAAAAGTAGAGATAATCCATATAAAGAGAGTTGGAGAGAAGAAAAGTCTAATTTTCATGCCCTTTTTTCCCTTGGCATCCTGACGAGAAGATTTTTTTATTTTTATTTTTACAAATGATCTGAATGATTGATATACTTATTATTGAGTAAGGTAAAGATTTTAAAATCTATCAGCAGCCTCCAGCTATTGTTAGATGCTGTTCACTGACTTTGCACTGGTTTTACATAAAAAGGATTCCTAATTCTACAATGGGTATAAATGGTGGAAACATAATGTGCAACAAAACAGAACTGCATTCAGTTTTGGTCGCTACGATGTAAAAAAGATGTTAAGACTCTAGAAAGAGTGCAGAGAAGAGCAACAAAGATGATTAGGGGACTGGAGGCTAAAACATATGAAGAACGGTTGCAGGAATTGGGTATGTCTAGTTTAATGAAAAGAAGGACTAGGGGAGACATGATAGCAGTGTTCCAATATCTCAGGGGTTGCCGCAAAGAAGAGGGAGTCAAGCTATTCTCCAAAGCACCTGAGGGTAGAACAAGAAGCAATGGGTGAAAACTAATCAAGGAGAGAAGAACTAAGGAGAAATTTCCTGACAGTTAGAACAATTAATCAGTGGAACAACTTGCCTCCAGAAGTTGTGAATGCTCCAACACTGGAAGTTTTTTAGAAGATGTTGGATTACCATTTGTCTGAAGTGGTGTAGGGTTTCCTATCTAAGCAGGGGGTTGGACTAGAAGACCTCCAAGGTCCCTTCCAACTCTGTTATTCTATATTGAAGAGCTAGATGATCACCATTTTACACAGGGAATAAATGCATTTGAAAGGAAACATTTTTAGAAAAGATACAAAAAGTGCTCTAAAGGCCAAACATGCCTTTTCCAGCCTGAAATATGTAGTCTCAACAACTAATTCTGCTGCCTTCCTCAGTCTTGGACACAAAATGTCTTCTAATATAATTCCTGGACTGTGTTGATTTCCTAGGCTGAACGCCTGCCTTGTTACTGTCTGCAGTGATTTTTTTATTGCCTTCCTGATAATGATAACTCAACTGAGGGTAGCTTGGTTGTCTTGCACAACAGGCAATCCAAAGAATCAGTGCTTGGTAGGAAGAAGGCATCAGAGCAGAGTTCCTTAAACCTGGCAACTTTAAGATGGGTGGACTTCAACTTCCAGAAATCCCCAGCCAACAACTCAAAGTTGCCAAAGTTGAGAAATACAGCCTGGTCCTCACAGGATCAAATGTTTCTTTGTCTGAACTGAGGGGTTGCAGGAGAGGCTGCTATTGTTGAAACCCTGTCCTTGAGTTGGTTGAACTGGCAGACTGTGTTAATATTCTCTTACGTGCAATCTATTTTTGACAAAGATCAGATATCCTAAAGGGTAGAACTAGAAGGATTACAGAATGAAGGATTGAACACTAGAAGGTGAAATGATCTTGAAACCTTCTGAAACCTGTTGGAATCCAGTAGAAAGCTCCCAATGGCATTGAGGAACCTGAACAAAGGACAAATGTGGACATTATGAGTTTTGAACTTAAGAGGTGTGGTAATTGCTACAATCTTCTTCTCCTTCTCCTTCTCCTCCTCCTTCTTCTCCTCGTATTCCCGCAGGTGCACAATGTCCATTTTTGGATCATTGAGCACCACTTTGCACAGTCAGCGGCGCCAGGTAATTGGTAATTCACTACAATGCACTGAGTGATTTAGGACCGTGGGAAAATAAGCAGTTTAGATACAGAATATCTTGAAAAGTAACCTTGCAGCTCCAGAGAAGGAAAGAGTTGATACTTGGAGAATATGATGATGGGGAAGTGATCTAGTGTAGAAAGGTATTGTTTTTGTTTTTGATATGGTCTCCATGATTCGGTGTTGAAATATGTGTTAGAATATAGGACTACAAGAAAAACTTGTATTGTTTGCAGAAGAACCATGTTAGTAGAAAATCTAAGAAACTTATTTTTGAAAAAATTTAAAGCATCATTTTTGCTCTCCACCCCCTCTTTGCCTCCCTTAGTATTGGAACTGACAGCAAGTTCCTTTGGCCTCCTTCTTAGAATGTAGCTGGCTGTAAGAGTTTTGGATAATTTATTCTAAGAACTGTTTGTGATTATTTTACATTACAAATTAATTTAACACACTTAATACACTAAACCAGTGTTTGTCAGTTTGGGAGTTGAAGTCAAACATTTTAAAGTTGCCAAAGTTGGGGAAATCTTCAGTGATTTTTTTAAATTTTATTTTTAGGTAAGCTACATACCCTTAGAGCTGAGGATTCTTAGCAACAGTTTTCAGTACTAAGGGATCAGTCTCCCTCCTGTATTCTCAAGCTAAGATAATAACATTTGTTTGAACCTTTGAAAAAAAAAATGGGGCTATAAATTGTCAAGTATTTGGCAGATCCTTCCTTGACTTAAAGGAATACTGTTCTTCAAACCTGTAGCAAAGATCACAATTCTTTTGACTTGTTTGAAAGCTGGTTTTACATTCTGCACAGCATCTTATAACCCCATAGCATTGTTCTTGTGGGAAACATGACAGGAGCATTCTGTATCCTTACCTTGAGTAGTACAAAATAAA